CTACCATTCAGAAGCCACATTTTTAGGAGGTGGGATGATGGTCAGGTGATCGGATGACGAGGGGGGGCGTGTCCGGAGTCTAATGGCTGCTGAGACCGTCTGATGTGAGCAGCAGCAGCAGCACGCCACCCGCCCGCACACCACTCGTTTGACTACGGCCAGCATACACCGAGATTGACCCACAGCCGGACGACTTCTGACCGAAAAACTAGCGGCGATTTTTCGGCGACTTTTCGGTGATTGTTCGGCGGCACCCATATGTCAAGATGAACCGAAAAAAGTCAGGGAAACAGGGTGCACCGAAAGTCCCAGTGATGAGCCCTCTGCAGCGTTACATGACGGCTGAGACTACGAGTAGACTGCAGGGATCCGCGGCTCGTGCAAGTCTCTCCCCCAGACAATCCCCACATCAGAAGTCATTGGATTCTACAGTTCCTGGACAGGAACAGGAGGGTGAGTTAGAACACTCTATTTTACTACCTATAGAAGAAATGGTGAAAACTCTACCCACTAAAAACGAACTTTCTGATATGTTTGCTCACTTGGAACAATCACTGAAATCTGACATTGAGACATTAAAAAGTGAGATGAAACAACTGTTAAACAGAGTGGAAGAAGGGGAGATAAGGCTGGACTCACACTCAGATGCAATTAGAGCCCTTCAGGCGCAGGTGTATTCCATAACCAAGGCTCAAAGGGATACCTCTTATCGCCTAGAAGATCAGGAAAACAGGGGCCGTAGGAACAATATGAGGATCCGAGGCCTGCCTGAGACCATAACTGACGCAGAGCTGATAGAGACATTAAGGAATATGTTTAATAAAGTAATGGGACAATCACCACCTACCCTAATTAAGTTTGACCTTTTACACCGGGTACCCCGACCACGCAATATGGCGCCCGAGGTTCCAAGGGATGTAATATGTCGTTTCCACCATCATATAGATAAAGAGAACATAATGCGGAAACTACGGCTGCAACCACCGATGGAATTCGAGGGAATTCGGATACAGATTTTCCGGACCTGGCCCGAGAGACTTTAGCACGCCGTAGGGCAATGCGTCCACTTTTGGATACCCTTCAAAAAGCGAGTATCCCTTATAGATGGGGGTTCCCGTCCTGCCTAATTGCACGTAAAAATGGGAGGACAATGGTGCTCCGGTTCCCGGAAGAACTTCAACATTTTTGCGAAAGCCTATCCAACGCTGCTCCCCGATTATCGGACTGGCAAGAAGCAATAGTGGACGGGGATCCACAGCTGAACAGTGATTGGACGCTAGTGGGGAACAATACACAACAGAAAGGTCGAGTGAATGAAAAGTCTCTATTTTTAAACAGGGCCTGATGAACACAGAAATTGAGACCTGGAGCCCAAGTGTGTTTAAAGATTTAGAATACTCACTAGAAAGGATAGGGACGGCGGTGATTAAAGAAATATGGGCAGATAAATAGGACCTGGAATTGTGAAGGGGCCCATATAAGATTGAATGAATGATAGTATTATCTCTTTTTTCCTTAAAATGTCTACTGGTAAAGAGCGTTCTGGTATTGATGTAAGAAATCCGGGTCACCTGGAACCCCGCCAATTTAATGATGTGGAGCGAGGGGTGGAGTAGAATAAGTGTGGGCAGGGTGTGTGGGCCTGTGGTGGCGTGAACCTCCCTCCTCCCTCCTCCCAATTTGAGGAAGGAGGGAGGGATAGAGGGTGGCCAGATGGCTCAGACACGCTCCCCATGACGTGCGACAAGAGCTTTAGAGAGCTAGCACGGGTCCAATAGTAGGACTTAGAGGTTAACATACTTGTAACCATTACCTATCTGTTATGATACATGTTTTGGTTTTTTTTTAATGTTAATTTTACATGCATATCCACATTAATAGATCATGACAGGGTAAGGCACAGCCGTCCTATGACCCAACC